GCTTTATCATCACAAAGGTTCTTATAGAGATTCTTCGTCTTTTTAATTCTTTATCACATGCTATATGCGAATTACTTGTACTTTCTTCATTAGTTCGCTTTTTTCCTAATTTATTTTTTTGTTTTTTTTCCTCTTTTTCTTGCAATTCCCATTGTTTTTGCTGAGCAACAGTATCAACTACTATATTACGTGCACGCCTACCAGTTGTATCACGTTTAACTGTCTTTTCTATATCCTGTCTGTAAATACTATAAAGCCTTTCCCTGCCGATATTATAACAGGCAAAAAGCCTACAAAATCCTTCGTTACAATTTTGGGTTGTGTTTTGAAATAAATGGTGAGTGGTTGGATCAGGCAGATTAAGGGCTTCCAAAAGTTCATTTGTTAATTTCCATTGCGCTTCCTTCCTTGATTTTAAATTACGATCGGTATGTATGCCTAATAACTCATCGATAAATTCACTTAGCAACAGATTCAATCTTTCTCTCTTCAATTGAACAGATTCGATTCTTGCTTTTAAATCCTCCATGGTTCCTAAATGCTTTCCCATATTTTGCTTTACATATTTTACACCCAAAGATTCGAGTGCTTCATCGTATGCTAAGTAATGTCCTGATCTAGTTATATTTATTGAACACGCATATTCTAATAAAACTTGCAAATCATGATCATTGCCAACCTGAGCTAAATAGTAGGTTACTGATTCTGAATAATTACATCGACCAGCTGCTGCAAACAGAGGAGCGAAAGCAGACAAACTATAATATTGCATACGGTGATTCCCGTGTCTTATTCCAATCTTATGACAAACCCAAAACCCTGCCCATTTAAAGAACCGATACCAAACTTTTAAAATATTGTTATTCCCGGATTCAATATCTTCCAAATTTAATCCCTTCTGTTTTGTGTAAGCCATAATGGCACTACCTACTGAAATCCAAATCAATTCAACTACCTACATGTAGCCGTATAATCTACAACCTTTTCAAGCTTATCCAAAAAAGAAACGCCCAAGCTGGCTGCTAATTTATATATACCATAACCTGAAAATACTGCTAATAACGTATTTAACATACATTTGTTTGTATGCTAGCGACCAAGTAATAACCGAATTTCACGCTTTCTTGTACGCAACGAGACCAACCTACGAAATATTGATTGATTTGCAGAAATATCCAAAAAATTATTTTGCCCAACCCCAACATCATTAAAATACATATTTATTGCTTGATGAACATTTAAATCATTGCATGGGCTATCGCCCGGCTTTAAAATAACAATATTTGGCTGTGGCATTTTACAGCCTATTGGTATGTTTTTTCGTAATTCAGACCGTATATCAAAAAGATCATAATTCTGCCACTTATTTTCAACAAATAGACAAAATGTTTCTTCGAACTTTCGCATTTGTTCTTCGATAAATGTTGATTGCCCAATTTGAAAAGTAAGGAATTCACCATCATAGGATTCTATTATACTTGATATAGCTCGCGGAAATCGGTATTGAAATACCATTCTAAGTGTAGCGTGGGCTGTTTTTCTCGCAATATCAAAAATATTGTCATAACTGAATGTACTTTCTTGAAAATCAATATTATCCACCATACAAATGTTCCATATATTGTCTCCTTTCCATAATTTTTTATCTACATCAACTTGTTCACGACGCTGCTTTTCTAAATGTTTTTCATATCTATTAGTGTGGGCTACGACATTGGCTACACATAATATTGCATATAATGAAGTATGCAAACGAGGTTTCTGGTACAATGAACTAAGAATATGGGTAAACCAAAGGTTTAGTCCCGGAAATGTGATTGAAAGTAATACAGAGACCAAAAACACGACAATTTTTTTGCTCGTATTATATCATAGTCTTTTCCCAATGTTCCTCTTTCTTTTTGCTTCCTTAATACTACCTTCCATTTATTTCATTGTATAGTGTCAATTAAGCCATCAAAAAAATCCGAAAGTATTAATGGAAAACCATCTTGATACTTTTTCAAAGAACCCGGTGTTTCTAATTTTTCCTTATTAGATCGAATTTCTGGTCTGGAACGCCAAAGTAATGTTGCCAAGGCTTTGCCTATTTGTCTTGGATTCTTTTTTACTACACCACAAAACATCTCACTATTCGAAAATTTTCTAATATTAACATTCTTCAGCCTAAATAAAATTTTAACACCTAAAAAACTTGGAGGTTTCGGAATTATAGTTTTATCTTTTCTTGTTTGTCTTGATTTTCTCTAATTTTATCGTCACCATGTTCTTCATCACTAATGTCTTTTTTTTTTAAATTTTTAATAAATTTCGCCTTTTCAAAAAATGTCACAATCCCTTTAAAAATCTCATAAAGGAGGAGATGCTGAATATCTCTTTCAACTGAATCTGAGATATCATTTATCCACCTGGCCAAAAATTGAAGTGATTTCGCAGAATCATCGTGATGCTGATCAGTGCAATCATATGGAGAAATAGCGCCCCTTCCTTGCCGTATATATATATGACCACCTTCTGATGCAAAACATGATGCACAAATGTATCGTATGCGTCTAGTGCTAAAAGAACGTTCAGCAAAATCATTCTTTTGAAATACAGGGCAAACAAGAAAAGATAAAACTATAATTCCGAAACCTCCAAGTTTTTTAGGTGTTAAAATTTTATTTAGGCTGAAGAATGTTAATATTAGAAAATTTTCGAATAGTGAGATGTTTTGTGGTGTAGTAAAAAAGAATCCAAGACAAATAGGCAAAGCCTTGGCAACATTACTTTGGCGTTCCAGACCAGAAATTCGATCTAATAAGGAAAAATTAGAAACACCGGGTTCTTTGAAAAAGTATCAAGATGGTTTTCCATTAATACTTTCGGATTTTTTTGATGGCTTAATTGACACTATACAATGAAATAAATGGAAGGTAGTATTAAGGAAGCAAAAAGAAAGAGGAACATTGGGAAAAGACTATGATATAATACGAGCAAAAAAATTGTCGTGTTTTTGGTCTCTGTATTACTTTCAATCACATTTCCGGGACTAAACCTTTGGTTTACCCATATTCTTAGTTCATTGTACCAGAAACCTCGTTTGCATACTTCATTATATGCAATATTATGTGTAGCCAATGTCGTAGCCCACACTAATAGATATGAAAAACATTTAGAAAAGCAGCGTCGTGAACAAGTTGATGTAGATAAAAAATTATGGAAAGGAGACAATATATGGAACATTTGTATGGTGGATAATATTGATTTTCAAGAAAGTACATTCAGTTATGACAATATTTTTGATATTGCGAGAAAAACAGCCCACGCTACACTTAGAATGGTATTTCAATACCGATTTCCGCGAGCTATATCAAGTATAATAGAATCCTATGATGGTGAATTCCTTACTTTTCAAATTGGGCAATCAACATTTATCGAAGAACAAATGCGAAAGTTCGAAGAAACATTTTGTCTATTTGTTGAAAATAAGTGGCAGAATTATGATCTTTTTGATATACGGTCTGAATTACGAAAAAACATACCAATAGGCTGTAAAATGCCACAGCCAAATATTGTTATTTTAAAGCCGGGCGATAGCCCATGCAATGATTTAAATGTTCATCAAGCAATAAATATGTATTTTAATGATGTTGGGGTTGGGCAAAATAATTTTTTGGATATTTCTGCAAATCAATCAATATTTCGTAGGTTGGTCTCGTTGCGTACAAGAAAGCGTGAAATTCGGTTATTACTTGGTCGCTAGCATACAAACAAATGTATGTTAAATACGTTATTAGCAGTATTTTCAGGTTATGGTATATATAAATTAGCAGCCAGCTTGGGCGTTTCTTTTTTGGATAAGCTTGAAAAGGTTGTAGATTATACGGCTACATGTAGGTAGTTGAATTGATTTGGATTTCAGTAGGTAGTGCCATTATGGCTTACACAAAACAGAAGGGATTAAATTTGGAAGATATTGAATCCGGGAATAACAATATTTTAAAAGTTTGGTATCGGTTCTTTAAATGGGCAGGGTTTTGGGTTTGTCATAAGATTGGAATAAGACACGGGAATCACCGTATGCAATATTATAGTTTGTCTGCTTTCGCTCCTCTGTTTGCAGCAGCTGGTCGATGTAATTATTCAGAATCAGTAACCTACTATTTAGCTCAGGTTGGCAATGATCATGATTTGCAAGTTTTATTAGAATATGCGTGTTCAATAAATATAACTAGATCAGGACATTACTTAGCATACGATGAAGCACTCGAATCTTTGGGTGTAAAATATGTAAAGCAAAATATGGGAAAGCATTTAGGAACCATGGAGGATTTAAAAGCAAGAATCGAATCTGTTCAATTGAAGAGAGAAAGATTGAATCTGTTGCTAAGTGAATTTATCGATGAGTTATTAGGCATACATACCGATCGTAATTTAAAATCAAGGAAGGAAGCGCAATGGAAATTAACAAATGAACTTTTGGAAGCCCTTAATCTGCCTGATCCAACCACTCACCATTTATTTCAAAACACAACCCAAAATTGTAACGAAGGATTTTGTAGGCTTTTTGCCTGTTATAATATCGGCAGGGAAAGGCTTTATAGTATTTACAGACAGGATATAGAAAAGACAGTTAAACGTGATACAACTGGTAGGCGTGCACGTAATATAGTAGTTGATACTGTTGCTCAGCAAAAACAATGGGAATTGCAAGAAAAAGAGGAAAAAAAACAAAAAAATAAATTAGGAAAAAAGCGAACTAATGAAGAAAGTACAAGTAATTCGCATATAGCATGTGATAAAGAATTAAAAAGACGAAGAATCTCTATAAGAACCTTTGTGATGATAAAGC